GGGGGGGTCCGGTTTTGATTTACTTGCCCTGCCGGCTTTTCTTCCTTCAGTCATTTCTTTTTTTTTTCACCCAAAATAAGGGAGGGGGCCGGGTCCCCCAGGCCCCTCCCCTAGATCCGCCACTGGTAGAAATACTCCTAGTAACTACATTCTACCGAAACCGGGATAAGCTCCGTTTTGATGGGCCACTTTGCTCGTATGCAGACTTCCTTTTTTATTTAATGAAAAAGGGGTTGGTATAATTTTCATCCGGCTCGTTGTCCAAATTCAAAACTACCAAATAAATGGTAAACAAATACAATTTTAATATGGTGTTCATGATGCATGATGATAACCAATAAGAATTTGGAATTTCACGGCTAATAACAACACAGTCATCAATCTTTACGTTTTCCTAAAACTGAGGTCGAAAAAGGGCACGTGATATTCAATATATTAATCTGAGTCGTTTCCAACTGAATTAAAATACCAATGAAAAGTTAAAAAAAATTAAAATTGATTAAGTGATTAATTGCTGAATGTTTATTGCTTTATAACAAGCAAGGATGTTTGAACCAGTTAGAACCCGTACAAATCATGTTTTTGGGAAAACCTATTTTAGAAAAAAAAAAAAATGAAGTGAGTAAGGCCAAACTGTACTGACGTTAGGGACTGTGTGATAATTACCTGGAGGGAGGGGGGCTGGGAAATGGGTGAAATATGCCCCAAAACTAAGTCGTACCCCACCTCTCATTAAGCAAAAATTAATTTCAACCCCCCTTCACATAATGGTAATATTAAGGCTAACCCCTCCCCCTTGAAAAAAGTCTCCTTCCATATATAACAGAGGCATTCCTTTCCTACTGCATGTCAAATAGGAAAACAACAGTTCATAGATCAGAACACCTTAGAGTTGATAAATTTGTCAGTTTCATTCTAATGTTAGTATCTATATTTGAAGTCCAATAACTCTTCCACTACTTTTCCAGTTTGCAAAAAGGAATGAAAAAGTAATGCCCCCACTGAATGTATCAAATTTTACATCCAACCCCCTCTCTCTTGTTGTCATTTTCTACTATGTCCCCCCTATAATTTTACAAACCCCCCTCCAGGTAATTATTGCACAGTCCCTTACAAAACGTGATACCCAAGGTCGAAATTTGGAGAAGAATTTCTATTATATTTCTCACAAAGTGAGTCAACCTTTGTTCATAGTCAGTGATAGTCCACGGCCCGAAGTCAGCGTCAATTGAAGACAACAATTCAAAGAAATCATTGAATTATTTAAGTTACTTATTTAGTTAACCAACATTTTTTGAGGGTGAGGGGTGGAGGGGGCGAGGGGGGGGGGGGGGGACGCTTCATCAAATTTTAGTCGAACACAAAAAAAGGTTCTCGAATAGTTAGTATGGGAAATAATACAAACAATTTCGTCTCAACGCACCTTGTGTCCTTTATACCCTCGAACCTAATAATTACTGATTCCCAAATAATTAAAAATCAAAACTGATAAATATTTGCCATTATCGTAAATTCTTAATTCTACATGGCTCCCTGGCACCCTCGTGATAGGGGCGAGGGTCTTGCGTGTCGGAACCAGGCAAAGCATTCTTGTGTAGAAAGCGCGCGAACATTTCTTGCGTACGCTTGTAAATAAACCATCTTTACCCTTATTTGGAAACTCTTACTTCAAGTCAAAACAAGGCCGTTGCGGAACAGGGAAACTTTACAAACTACCCCCAAAACTTATTTAAAAGAAAAATAAACGCAATAGTATAACATGAAGTTTCGGCGTCACCTTGTCGCCATTATCAAATGCAGATTTAAGCCGAAACGTCATGTTATAGCGTTTATTTTTCTTTTAAAATGTTTTTCCCTATCTTCTCTACTATTAATTTTGAAACATTTCAATACGATGTGATACGCTGAGGAATGCATTTTTATTGAAACTAATAGGATCTGCAAACCCGAAATTACTTTATATTTACTTTTTCAATGTCGAATTAGGATGCCAGAGTATCACTGACATCCAAAACTTGATACTCGTATTGACTTTCAGTTCGCTTTCACCAAAATGTCAATTTTGTCACTATATCAAATAGGAAAAAGTTAATTAATTGCCACGACGTCGCGGTTACAGCAAGGTGGCCTAGATTAATTTAAAAGAGCTGTTCTACAGACTGTCCAACATATATAATATAATTGTGGCTAACATGATCGATTTCAAAATTTCCCGCATTTAATTGGTTATCTTGAACTCATGAGTGCGGCTTAGATGACGGGCTGGTTCAGTCTGTATTTCTATTTTCACGTGCCGAGTGATCTCTTACAGAGTTTTTGCTTAGCTTCTTTGGTGGGCAAGACATTAAGAATATTTCTACGTTCAAACTCATTTAGTTAAGTACAAATTCTGTTAAACCACTGCCAGATGCAACGATGAAAAATCAATACCATATGAATTGAAGTTAAACTAATTAAAAAACTGTTGAAGATTGAGGTTTCCCGATAATTCTCTGATTTGAAGTCTTAAACAAAAACAAACAAAAGCAACATGGCTGGTTGCATCCCTTTTATGCCCTGTTTATTTCGTTAAAACAAAGCTAACAAACAAGAGAGTCTCTAATGTACATAAATCTCTGAAGTGAAGCGTTAATGCTTCAATTAGTCTTAGCTTATGTGCATGGTAACTACATATCACACTAAAATATAAATAAGCAAATTTTTGCCTTCATCTGTGATATCAAACGTATCAAATGCTCCGAAAGCTGTACATTGTTTTAATCGCTGCATGCATGCTGTGGAAACTATGAAATATCGCACGCCCTGACTACAGCTATGCAGCACACAGAAAGCTTTATATATCAATGAATAAAATGCTTTCATAAGTCATCTTTAAATCGACCCTTTTGTTCTGAAAGGATTAATTCCACTTCAAGCATTTAACATCTCATTTAGTTCTCACCTCGACTGGACTGAGGCAAGAAAATCTATTGTTTGCTCAAGCCATTGAGTATGCAAATAACAAGCACATATGCATTTTTAATGCTTTACTAAAATGTGCAATATTTGTCAGCTGGGATCTGTGATAATGCATATCGCTCAAAAAAATACCTCGTGACAGTCTGCAAAGATGGATTAAAACCTATTTATTTTCACGGACGGAAGGATTATCTCAGAACGAATAGATATTTATATTCCGTAGAAATGTTGCGTTGCAAATACATGCTGAAACACATGATGTAATTGGGACAAATTTCTCAGTTGGAATTCACTGAAAGAGTAGACGGTTACGAACATCTTTTCACGCCCCCTGCAACACTCACCTGTATGTCAGCAGGTCATATGCAGGCAGGCTGTATTAATCATCCAAAGCTAACAGTTTTTCTTTTTCACCTTTTGCAACATTTGTTTATTTTTGGCTACACAATGCGTGCGAATTGAAGGATTGGTTGATATCGGTTCAAGATCAGTGATTGTCCAACACTTTGTTGCCGGAAGCACATTGAGACGATTTGAACCGCGATAAATCTGTAAATTAAGACCACGTCTTTCAGTATACACGTCCAGTACAGAGAGGGCTTCACGTCCCAAGATAGCTTCTTCGTCTGTCAAACGTCTACGAAACAGTGTAAAACGTAATTCCTAGCAGATTTCTACAGCGTTTTCTCAGCCGATCAATCTTAGTCATGGATGAAACAAATGGATCGTGGTTTCCGAGGGAACGGCAAAATTCAAATCCATTCCATTTCACCTCTGGTCACGAAGTGTCTCGGTCAAGCAGTGCATCGAACATTTACGGAAACTCGTCTTTTACGGCGTTCCCAGAAAAAGCCGACACGAAATTCTCGCCCAAGCCAGGGAAAAGAACAAGAAAATTGTCATTATTTTCGTTTCATTTCAACTCGAAATCGAATTCAGAAGAAAGAGGAAAAGTAAGGCGGTCATCTCAACCCGCCTTTAATCAACCTTCACCAACAACTCTTTCACCAGATCCTGACGTATGGATGGCTTCGCTAAAACCCACTGGATCACAGAACAGCCTCGATAGTTCCCCTTCTTCTTCAAGAAAATGCTCGTCTGTGCTTGGACCTATTGAAAGGGAGAACATTGCAATACATGACATTATTCAAGAAACTCTGAAGCTACAGTTTGAGAATGTCACAGAGTACGACCGCGAGGCTTGTGACCGCTTGGGCAAAAACGTGTGCCAACTTGTGAAGCGGCGCGTCGAGGCGATGAAAGAAGCGACGAGACAGCGCTGTAAAATCGTGTCTGTAGTTTACGTTGGCGCGGTTAGAGATCATGGAATACAAGTTGCTAGTCAGGCGCTACTGGAGGCAGATAAAGACAATTTTACTGTGGCTAGTTATAGAAACGGAAAGGTGTTTACTGTGAGTGGAATTATGGTCATCCCGTTAGAGAAATAGTCAACATACTTATGCACTAAATAACCACATGTTCAAACAACACTAAGAAAACAGAGGATCCCAAGACGAGAGGTTTAGATAAGGAGCAAAGGATGTTTTTCATCCACAGGTGTTTTGTTGTTTGGACAGCTTCGTGTAAGTATTATGTGGAGTATGAAATGAAAACATTGTCAGTCGCGCCATGGCTTCGAAAATGGCTACGGCTCATTAACCCTACTGATGCAAACAGATAACCTACAGCTGCTAATAGTAGCAGAAGCGGCAGGTAATTGTCACAAGTTAAAAGCGATGAGAAATGGAAAGGGACGTTTGCGTAAAGAGCAATTAAATTCATCTTGAAACGATATTCAATACAAAAATTTTACGGTACACTTAATGTCTTGTAATTCACTTTGTAAGGCCTTATGCGTCCCATAGTGCGATAAATACTCACTCTGGTGGGCTCTGGGAATGAAGAAAATAGTTAAAATACGACAGTGCCGTTGAAAGCTCAAATGGTTTTAATTTTAATGCGAGTTCATCTCACTCTCGGCTGGAATTTAGACGAAAAATGGCTTTGGCACCAGTAAGTCTGCACTTGATCCGACTAGGCTCCCTGAATAAATAAAAAAAAGAAACAAAATATCCCGAATGCTAACGATTTTTAATCTGCAATTACATAATAATGGATAGCACAGGGTGAAATATTAGAATTACCAGGTCTGCTATAGCCTGCGTCGCAGACAGTCTAAACCACCGGTATAGTCCTATATCGGGGATTTTATGACACGTCAGGCTGCAACACAGGCTAGGTCTGCTAATATGCTAATAACTGGAGATTGTCGAAATAACTTTGATATCACAAAGCTTCACAAGACCACCGGCAAGTTCTGAATCGCCACCAATGAAATGCTTGCAGTTTGTGGCTTCTTCTAAGCTGTGGTTAAATTGTGAATACCGATGCGAAGAAGTTGAAAAATTCGCCAAAAGGGCAATCTCGATCCAGAGTAGATAACAAGGTCATTGTGGTAAGAGGTTATCAGTGTTCTAACTTGCACGTAATTGATGCCACTATAAAAATTATTCCATATTAAAGATTTGGTTGGATGACTTCAAGACCGTGCTGTTGCCTGCTTAGCTGCCTGGTCAAACTCTGTTTTCGCGCAAAACAACGAAACCTGTGTTGTAAAGCTGCTACCTTTCTCTTGTTCTAAGCCGTAATCAGTGATAATAATGGATTTTGTCGACGTACATGTGTTTTTAATTGTGTAGCAGACCTTTAACTTCTAATTACTTTGTAGAAAGCTGTTTATCGCGCCATCTTTCAGAGCTTTCTCTTTTTTGCATGAACGTAAATTTTATTCAATGCTGATCTGCTTTCGAGACCATCATTTCAGCAGCTGACAGAAGTCGTACAAATGTCAATTTACGATGTTCTGGTATAGCTTCACTGTAGAAACATTCCCAAATACTATAAAAATTATTTTTTGGGTTCAAAGTTTCAATACAAGGATACTTTTACAGAATGCAGTGCAGCGGCATTAGACAATGAGGCTAAGAGACCATATGTAAAAGGAATTCAAAGCATTGTGACTTTCAACACGTCTCTCTCATTTTTGAGGTAAACGAATATCAGTCAATCCCGGAAATAGCCAGTCATCTTTCGCAGAAGGAAAATCATTTTGAAGTACTACAAAATTAAATGATTATCTTAGAACCGATTAGTTTCGGTGATATCAATATCACCTTTATCTCACTCATTTGATGTTGAGAGCATCTGGATAATTTTCCTGAGGGAGGTACTCCCAGAAAAATGGAGTGGAGGTGTGCTGCTCGCTTCCCAAAACCTTTACCCTATTTAAGATCAAAATCTGAGAATTTCCCTACCCTATTTGTGACCTAACCAAAGATTTGTTACGCTATTTAAGACCTGACCCTTAAATTAATACCTTGCTCCAGACCTGTCTCAGTAATACGTTCCCTAGTTCAGACTGATGTTAAAGGCATTCTAAAGGGCTTTTGTTGATGGTCTTATCGATAATGATGTTAAAAACATATCGAATTCAATACCAGAGAGCGATAGCCATACCCTATTTGAGACCAAAATGGCTAAAACTGACTAAAACGGCTAAAAACCATACCCTCTGAGGCCGCACATAGACTATAGCCTATATGAGGGAGTACCCCCGAGCTAATTTGTCACGGCTTCATTTAGTTTAAAGCAAAAACTGTTTGCAGTTATTTGCTAATTTGTTTAGTAATCTCTCCTCTGTCGATTCCAATAAGAATGTCGGAAGGAATTCCCACAGAAGTTACCAAACTTCATGCATGCAGGGATGCGATGTTTCAACATGGGAACAGCACATTATTTTGTCGCTGCAAAATCAGTATCGCTTGGACGTGACCTTGCAACAGAATCCTACGGTCTTAAAAAACAATCAATCTGATCACCTCTAAGAAAAAGCGTGATTCAGTCAAAGCCAGATTATCTTCCTGGAAATTACAAAACATGTATGTAAAACAGAAGAGGGAATTGTGATCCTGATAAAATGCTATTAGAATTTGAGTGACCGGAAACCCACATTACGAAATTGCGATAATCTGTTTTCTTTCTAAATGAGACTTTTTAATCCTCTTAATTCGAGTTAAAAGCTGCACTACGGACGCTATGCACTACGGGCATGAAAAAATGCTTGAATTTTTTTCGGCCATAGGTCCCGGCTCTCGAAGACAATTCTGCCTTCTGGTACCCATGTGAGAGCGATTTGAAGATGCAAATGATGATCCATTCTAAGGACGTGACCTGGCTGCGTCCATCTCCTCCTTGCCAATTACTTACTTTTTGGCGTAATCCCTGCTCAAATTCTAATCTCCTGGTTTGTTATGCGCGTTGGTCAGTACATCTTTAGTATCCCATGAAGGCTCTTATTTAAGAACACGTCCAGCTTTTTCTCGTCCATTCGACAGGTTTCACATGCATATAACAGCACTGAGAGTACATTAGACTTGAAAATTTTGATCTTGGTTTTGCTGTTAAACTGACTGTTATTTCAGATCCTGCCCAGCTTGTTATACCCAGCCCGTGCTTTTCCTGGTCTTGCTCGAATGTCTTCTTCCGTACCGCCTGATCTGCTGATGTATGTACCCAAGTACGCAAGATATTGCACATGTAAGTGCAATATCGTCAGCGAAATCCAAGTCATTCAACTTGGACCACAATTTCTATCTGATACCAGTGTTAACATCCTCTACTGTTCTCCTCATGATCCAGTCGATCTCAGGCAAGAAATGACAAGAACCCCGACATGTTGCAGCCCTGCTTCACGACGGACTTCACATCGAATAAACCAGTTAGACCTGCGCCATCAGCTAGCCCGGGGGGGTACTTTGGGAATTTCTAGGTGGGGATGGGCCGCTGGGACCCTGGAACCCTTAGCCTATACCAGAGCTATTTCAGTTGAATTTTGCTAACCTATACTAGAGTAAACTCCCCAAATCCCCCCATCTATAGACACTGTTGAGGCCGATCTGCGTAAAT